AAAGTGCACTTATAATAAATGTTACGTGACAGTAGCGTATCGTGCTTCTCTTCATTGTCTGCTGGTGACCGATGGATGACCCAGTTTTCAACAACTTTTCTGTAATTATACTCATTAAAGCAGAAATGCCAACAAATACAACGCCATCTGACAGCGAATGCGTTTTTGGGTCGAACCTCCATCTGTACCGGCCTCGAAGCTAGAAGTGTGAAGTTAAATAAACAACAAAACTTTGCGAGAAACTCTAGTTGTATTTCTGCAAGAATCAATGGCCGCTACTGGCTGTGAAAGCAGGACGTTGCTCCCGCCAAGCACCTGGACAGCTCGAATTGAAAGGAATTTCTGTGCGATGCAGACCTCTTCAGTCAATGCATTATCAGCACTGTTCCCAACGTCGTCAGGCAGTTTACAATTAACAATACATAAACATCATTTCGTATCACAGTTGGAAATAAGATACATTCTTTTCCTATAGCGCGGCCATTCTCAGTCCCTTCCCCGTGGCGGCGCGCTGAAAAACAGCAAATTTCTCAGGCCACACCAAATTATATATTAATGTAAAGTTGTGTCAGTGATGCTTAACTGTAGTCATATTATTCTTTGAGTCGTTTTATTTTTTATTAGAGTAGTGTTTTATAATAATAAGCATTACAATTAATAGAAACATTCAATTAATTGACGGTATTTTAAGAACGAGTAATACATAACGACGATGGAGAAAGTGGAAAACTCCATGGCCCAGGCATTACCTTCGTAGTTGCAGAATTGTAAAAAGTTAAATATATTTATAAAATCTCGAAGTTCATTACGGTATTCAAAAAGCTCGGCGTTGGACCCTGTTCAGCCAGGTAAATCCTGTCTCTACCTTTACTCTCAATTTATATTACTTATCTATATCAACGCTTTGGTCTACAATTATTATTCAAATTTATCGAGACCAATCTCCCTTCACCAAGGCCTGTGTGTCCAACCAATCTCGCCTTGATGTAATTGGCCGAATGATGTTACGTGGGATTGCTTAATTTACATAATTCTTTTACTTCAAGATCGTATTGCTATTGCTACATTTGTGATTTGTCTTTAAATATGTAGAATCGCTTTTGAATTCTAAATATCGCTGCACATTTGTTGTGAAACTAAGGTGTAACTTGATAGTAAGCAAAAACATAAAGTACCATCCTCCCCAATCTCCACAAAATTAAATAGACTAGTTGTCGCCAACAGAGATTCGTCCCGAAGGTTTACAAGATCATTCGGAAAATTTTCATAAGAAAATCGTAATAAAAATGTGGAGTTTCCAGCATGATCTGTAAGGTTTCACACCATTCAGTTGTATCTGCACTTTTTGCAGATACAAATTGTATTGTAACGATTGTCAGGTAACGAGTCTACACTAAGAGTTGTAACTAATCAACAGATATGACAAAATTTTACTTGGACTTCAGGAGTGACTCTTTCTCCGTCTCCAGGTAGCTGGAAAGTGGACTTTTTTATCCTGTAGTTCCTATAATTCCCAGGTACAGAATTACAACCCGTTGTGAGAGTTCTGTGCGTAACATACTGGAGTGAAGTACGTCTTTTTCGCTCGTGTTTACCCATCATATTTACTGGATCAGCTGAGTATCAAAAGATAAGATGATGTTAAAAGAAGCAGAATTACTGATAAAGGTCGGCAGGATTTGTATAATGTGCAGTTTGGATAACTACTAAAAAGTCAAGTTTTCCAGAGAATGTAGCGCAGAACTGAATGTAATGAATGCGCTGTTTTCTGAACGGACTGAGTTGCTGAGGCCTGTCGATACTTGTCAGTTGCATCTGAAATGTAAAACCGCTATGCAGCACAGCGGAGAGGTGACCTTGCCTGAATTCAAATTACAGAGCGTCAGATCAATTCAGATTCAAGTGTCTACGTATTTATTACTGAACATCGCGGTGCGTCGCTTAACACTACGCTTGCTGGCTCGTATTTTAGAGGTCTTAGAGACCTTAGAGACCCCTTAAAGTATTCCAGTAATTCATAATTGCAAATATACACATTAATTTAAATTCATACACAGTTACTCTAAATTCTGACTCAATTTTTTATCTGTGCTTGTGCGAAACAACTACGAGGTATAGAATACCACTTGGACAAAGTATAGTAGTTCTTCAGGTGATCAAGAAGGACATTTACTATTTTAAATCCATATTCTTATTTACAAACACCCACTATTCAGTCATTCTGAATCATTTCAGTTTAGTCCACATCTCATTCTGTTTCATCTGACGTCTAGTCTGATATCACATATAAAACTCTCACCGGTTAAACGTCGGAAAACGTGTACCAAACAAGTGTAACAACCCAGAAGACAGTCATCTTCATATTCGTCGCCGTGATAACCCGAGATCTCACATCCAGGGTAGATGATGTTTATGCCCACATTAATATTTTAATTTTCTGCGATTTTCAAGCGCGAGTACCAGATGTAAACACAAATGGGAGTAATCGGAGTTACGGATTGCCGAATAAGGCAGTGTTGCTTAGTGTGAATTGAATTTTAATTTATCGCTGTTTCTATTATATTTCTTCAACGTTTAACTAGAAGTGAGTTGTAATCAACGTATTTATCGATTGTCATTCGACTGAGTTTGCAATTTTTTATCTCTTTGGTAGTGATAATATGCCGTCAAACCCAGATCGGCCGCATGCGGCCGTGACCTTAGCTTATTGCAAGATTATAATCAACTCTAAAAGCAAACAAAAGCTAATGTCTGTGATACTTGACTGGAGCAGCGCGTCGTAAGTGCATTCAGGGGAAGGGGTGGTGGTGGAATAAAGAGGTAGTCGTATAAGATTTTGGGGCGGACAAAGTTCTAGCGCAATTTAGTCATTCATTCATTATTGGGGGTTGAAATTTTTGTGATGATAGATTGTTAAAAAAACATACAATTTTAGGGTTCTTTTGTTAATTGGTGTACTTTATCATATGAGGTGTGATGGCCTGATGTTCGTTTATGCCATAACTTGTAGCCGGAAAGTTACACAGTAATGAGTGTCTATTTTATTTGTAGTTAATTTTGGAAATAAAAAACGACAACATGGCCACTGCTAAAGAATATTTTGTGTGATGATAATAAATAATTATTAGTTATAATATGAGTTGTGAAATTTGTATGGCCACATGTTTTAAACACATAGGCTTGTCTCAATAGTGTTGATAGTATTTACAACTACGTATCCTCGGAACCCTAAAATGCACCACTCACCAGCGGTGAATGCGCAGAAACTATGGCCTCTAGCTTCAGGTTCCTTATTTTGAATCTAGAGCGTTTAATTGAGTAGCACTGGGTGATAATTGGTGATAATGCCTGTTGAAACCAATGCGGAGGCACACGGCCATGTTGGCAGTGTGTTGCGGTCAGAATTTCATCCGTGTAATTTGTCCTGTGAAGTATCAGGTGTGATGTGGTGTAATAGTGTCGTTAGTGGGACGTTCTGCTTCAGCATTTTCAGGAAATGTGGAATTCAGGGCCAGTTATGTTCTGAAACGTTCGTACAACGAAGCAAGGATTTTTGTGGCTGTCTTTTCTTCTGTAGAAGAAGTAAAATGGTGGTTTCAGTGAAGGTGAAGTTGTCCTGTGCCGTAGCACTACGCCATAACGACTAATAGAGACGTGATTATACATAATTCTATACGTATTACAAACCTTACAGTTACACGTCGTTTCACACTCCGACCGCTTTTTCCCTAAAGACGTCCATGCTGCAGCTCAGGCGGTTAGTAACCGGATTCTTAACGTGGAGGTCAGGGTTCGCTCCCAGGGCAGTCCGTGTGGGATTTGTGGTAGATAAAGTGGCGCTGGGGCAGATTCAAATGCTTTGGTTTTTCCCTGTTCATGTAATTCCACGGTTGCTCCGTATAAATGATGTATTATCATTTGGTTGATGGACGGTGGGCCCCGTCGCATTTCCACAGAGACACAGTCACCCCCTAGCAAGAAAAGAGTAAATTTTACTGTCTACTTTCTCTTTGTTGTGCCCCATCAGTTGCCTAGACTTGAGGGACAGAGTGAATCAGAGGCCACTTATTCCGACAGAAATGTGTGATTATTTTTCTGTCTTTACGGAAGCTTCCAAAATAGTGCTACAGAATAGACCAGGATAATTTTTTCCCCAGTTTTATATAGAGCACAGCCCTTTCTTGAGTGACTGTTGTTTTATGAAAGACGTTGGTTCATTATTGTGTTCATAAAATTCTGCTTGAAGTTAATTGAATGCAGTGCGCATCCTAACCCCTGTTTATGTACGATATATTTTAATATTGTCTTCCCATCTATGCTAATTTCTACCAGGCTTTTTACAAAATTTGTATGCAGTTTTCGCATAACGCGTTACCTTTCCCTCCATCTCAGTTCCTCGTATATTTTTCCCGATTCGCCGTTCATTATCACCTTAGTGTTTATGTAAATTTCTTTTATCATTTGTGTTCTGTAGTAGTTCGTATTAATGTTAAAATGCAACTTCAAAATCCGCTTGTACTTGCTAATTGTTGCAGTTAGAATTGTCAATATGCATAGCCTGTTTCTTGTCGAGCAGTTTTGTCGGCCTGTGCCGTTCCTTGCTTGTGTACATACGAATACGAATGCATATAAAAGGTAAAGTTGTCCCTGGTACTTAACTAAGTATCACGCCATGAAGAGGCATAACTCCACTTTTCTTGACCTCGGCATTAGGTAGAGGTTAGTGGTCATCTTCGCGATCCTGCAGCTATATCCCCGTTGAACGAACCCCTGGTTTTGCTAACACTTCGTTAAGAATCTTTGTAAGCTTCATTCTTAATATATATCAAGTTCTCACTAGTTTAGACAGCGTCGTAGAACGCGAATAGAACCGAACCTCGGGAGTTGCTGTGAGTGAAATAGAACATTTTATTTATTTCCAAACTGCGGGTTATAGCACAGCCAGCAGTTAAGTGCTGTTGATTTAAATTTATTCTAAAGTATTTTGTTTTTCTTTTCAGGCCATAAGTTTGACAATCCAGAGACTGTGAACCTCAGGCTGGAGCCCGGAATATGGTGAGTAGAATGCGCCATGGCGTTTCAATTCCTGTCGCTTGAATTGAAGGATAATTCATACAGGCCTCTGGCACCGCAGTACCAATGAACCGGTTTTGCGAGTACGATGTAATTTAGATTATTTTTAAGAGAGTTCGGGTCACACTGACAACATGTTACGTAACTTAAACTGTTGCATACACGTTAATGTTCGAAGATGGCCGTCTTCTGGGTTGTAGCGACGCGTAGCCTGGTAGAAGTCCTTGCTGCTGCCACAACCCAGAAGACAGCTGTCTTCTTCTTCTTCTTCTTCTTCTTATTATTATTATTTTCATCTTCACTTAGGTCCGAACATTAATTTTATTTCCTGTTAGTGTTTATTATTTTTTCTTTCTCTCAGTCGTATTTCTTACTCCTCCCCTTCTTTTCGAGCTTCTTCCTTGTCTTTTCAATATTCTTCCTTTACTTATTCTGCTTAACGTTCCTTCTTATTTTCCCTTACTACAACATCGATTAAGCCATTTTGCCTCATCCTGCTCAGAATATTTTCTGAGGCTCTTAAACCGCCATGATATCCTTGGGTGGGGGAGGAGCTCGTTGCTAGACAACACAGAAGTAATGGAAATATTTGGCTTCTCTGATTGCAGGTACACATTTTTTTGTGCATCTCATTGATATTCTTGTCAATTTATTGCGGATACAAGACTTCTGCTGTTGCACTGCAAATATTACCCTTAGTAGAGTCAGAAATTAGTTTACCTGCATTTTGTAACATACTTGACACAACAGAAGTTTCAAAATATTGTAGACTTAAGTGAAATCTATATTTTACATGCTGTACCAACTTCTTTTGTGATAATCACGTAATGAAGTTTACGAAATTTCGATTTAATCTTCTCATAACGTGGGAGTTAAATTGTACCTTCCACACAATATTCAAACTTGCCTACATGTTGGTGTAGAAATGAACTACCAAATTTAACTGAAATTTGTTTTAGTTTCGGAGGTGAAACATTCTGTTTCTTTTACGCGAACCCAGCACACAGCTCCCATCGTACACGCCTGTTTCAGAGAACCTTATGACTGCGCTCTGAGCAGTGACACCGCTATAAACTGCTCATTAATATGCACATGTTACTTATCACGTACACACGTGTTACGTTAAGAAATCCGTTTTGACAAACGTGTTCAGAGTTGGAGCACAGAATCTCTTTAAAGTTAGCAAATTTGAAACTACGAAATAAAGTATGTGAGTTTATAATTCCCGTGTATTTCAAAGTCTCGGGAACTTCGTAATTTTTTGTAATATGTCAGTCTTATTATGAGGGCATGTCAACCCCCACGTTCTACTCCGAAGCTGGGGAACCATCCCTTGTCAACTGTCCGTCACTACTTATTCAACATATTTGCATGATACTGTTAGAGCTAGATTGTCAGGACAAGTTGGGTCTAGCTTGTTTTGGGACAACGAGAAGATGTTAAGTGGCAGGTTTCTGTGGGTGATATAGTGATCAGCTGAGTGACTGTCAGCTCCTCAAGAGAAACTTCTCCATGGAGACACGAGTAGTTAACTCAGTTATTGGTCTGTTCCAACCGCCTGGCAAAGTTCACTGCTGCTAATAAGTGTGCCATCATCTGAAGGATAAAATGTTATTTGAACATGATAACAGTTGCTACGAAAATATATTTATCTTCTTATTCAGAAATCAGAGATAGCGCCGTAAAATTCGTTTATTAGGTTGTCGTTGAACTGGACCAGGAAGGCTTGCTCTCTGATTTGTATTTATGTTAGAAATATAATTCAGTGATGATGCTGTCTGTTTGTCTACAAGCAAAATTTCCATAAATGTTTTCAACAATAATTATCTGTAGTTAAGAGATTGTTTAATAAGTATCAGTTAGCATTAACTGAACATTCTGTGTACTGTACACCAAAAACATACAACAAGTTTCCACAGTTAATTCTCACACAATATCCAAAGTTCTGATTAGTAGCATATTTTCCAGACGTTAGATTTTTCCCTAATGTCGGGTTTTGGTATTAGCTGTTTAAACATTCATGTTTTACTACCAGAGAGTTTATTTTTTATTTAATTAATGTATTAAGACACGTACTGAACCGAATCTGGAGCAGGCTCCATTTGACTTTAGTATCACCATTTGTAGGTAAGTAGAAACGGTAAATATGTGTACCAGGAAACCCGAAAATTGCAGTTATGTCAAAATCTGGTGTGTGTAAACAAATTTATCTTCTCTTGCAGTTACATATTCTCTCTATGCAATACAGGAAGTGAGTGAACAGTTGATAAAAGGACCGATATTAATAACATCTGAACATCACCGCGGGCCATGCTGCCGTGTCTTAGCTGTGTTTGTCTTCAGCAGTATGTTTGTCCTTTTCGGTTTAAAGTTTAGTATTTGCCATAGGAAATTGCCCTCTTGATATAACCTTATCTTCTTGTTGCCATGCACTGTATCAAGAGGAGACGCACTGTGATCTTCGGTTTATATACTATATGAACCGCATTAAAGTAAGTGGGGCACAGAAGAGGTGTTAGCTTACGAATTCCACAGTGGGAATAAAATGTAATATTTACGTTCCGATAAGAGTGGCGACTGCAGTGAAAAAAGCATTTGGATAGTTTATGGAACATGAACTTTTTAACGTAAATACGTCTATATTTTAGGATCAGTGTCATTCGGCAAAAAGTGAAACTAAAAAGTGTAACTGCATTGTTATGTTACCTAGCAAACGTCAATTGTTTACTTAGCATTGTTGTTACCTATAAAACATTTCATTACATTACTTTACATTACATTCATCTACCACAGACCCATCTTAAGCGTAACTAATTCAAATTAAATAAGCAATGTCTTAATCAGACTTATCTCAATTGTAAAGCATGTATGAAGGAAATATTTAGAATAAAGCCAATATATAAACTTCTTTTCTGTATAGACGTATTTACGTCTAATTCTCCGGAACCGTGGTTCCACTATCACTTTTTTCGTGGAAAATCTTCGAATATAGAGACAATTTTTAGCAACGGTCTAGCGTGCACTTTATATTTTCAAAAGTTTTATTGCCCATTTTCACATTTTCCTTTACAGATAAATAAAACCTGGAAATGTTTACAGACTTTTATAATGGGAAGGAAGTGTGTGTGTGTGTGGGGAGGGGGCTCTTTTACCGAAGAAAATTTAAAACTTTCTCCTTCAATTTCTTTTTATACAAGACATATTACATTCCAGTGTGGGTAAATAAATAATAAGCCGATTCCGTAAGGTGGTGATGTTGGAAGTGACAGCGTCTTAATTTTGAGTACACAAAAGTAAATATTGGAAAATTTGTATCACATTTTGCTTACTTTTCTATTTTAAAACATTTAATTGTTAAATTTAAGTGAATTGTTTAAGCTGTTTTAAGATATGTTCCCCGGTTTTTCAAGGAAAGATGGGAAAAAATCCAGAACATTTTCAGGATGATCGGTCGATTCTCCATCAGGATTCGAATTGCACGTCTTCTGTAAGCGAGTGACACAGAAACTTGTACGAATCCACTCGACCGAAAATGTTGACGTGTCGGAAATTTCTGTGGCATATTGAAATGCCAATAGAGACTGATTTCTTGCATCCTCAATTTGTGGGATTTTCTGCACTGTACCATTAAATACATATAAGTATAAGGAATTTGTTGTAATAGAATAACGATAAATCGTAAAAATACATCATCCACTTAAAAATGTGATTTTATTCGGTTTTCAAGTTACGTAACACAGTTTTGTAACTTTGTTTTGTGTGGCCTGGATGAGAGAGACAACAAGCGCATGTTCGTAGTTTCGGTGGGTAAGACCCTCGGAAAGCGGCCAGTTGGAAAACCGAAAAGATGATAATGAGTCGTAGGAAAATGGGAATGGAGGATGGAAATGACTAGGAATTGTGTCCAGTGGCGGGCTTTGGTATTAGCTGTTCTGCGTCTGATACCAGTGACTTAATGTTACTAAAATGATACAAATTTAAGTTACTACGACTGTCAGCTGTCGGTTGGCAAGCAGCTTACTTAACGTCACTGTCAGCTGCAGAGCTTACTGATCGTTGGGTAAGATGGAAAGATGGTAACGTACAATGAACTGGAGAGGAATGAGCAGGAAACGATCGTGACGTATTCCAGACCACTGTTTCAGAACTAACATGGAGAAAGTGGGGAACTCCATGAAAATTTTCATAACTGTATCTCGGCCGAGATATCAACCGAGCGCATTCAGAATATAAAGCGGCTTACCTGCTAAGTAACATAGTAATCTGCTGTCTGAATGAAGGAATTTGCATTTGGTTAGATGTGCTTAGTCTATTATACGTACAGCGTTGAATGAGTTCTGTTCGCGTTCCCAATACGCAACATTTATTCTTGCCCTCAGCGTCTTATCAGTAAGATTTCTCAAAGTCAGCTTCTCCTGCAGTCATATCGTTTCTGGCCTTTGACTTCGCTAGGAATCTTGGAGATACAGTAAATTCTTAAAATGGCTGTGATTTTGAATTGTGTATATAGTGAGACACCACGTAACCGCTAAACCCATCAGGGCCTTTCTTAAAGAACACTTCTAGCCACTCAGTCGAGAAGGAAATTTTTCATCTGCCTTCGGTGGAATTCAGTCCTTCATGACCCTGTTAACCAAATCCTACCATTTGACTCTGCCCTGTGTCTGTCTAGTTCAATATCCTTTCGAAGATGTCTGTCTTCTGAGATGTTGCGGCGCTGGTACACGTTGACCGATGTTTCAGATGTGTTTATTGCCTCCATCATCAGACAGTTCTTCCTGCAGGTAACAGCAGTTAAAGAGTAGTTTCAGAGCGAACCACTGAACAAATCAGTGAAGAAACTGGTCTCAGTTTGGACGAATGGGGCGTTGCCCTCAAGTATTCGAGAGGCTTCAAGTAATGCAAGATGTGATGGATTTTAAATGTGTGTTGCTGTGTGAACTGAAGTGGAATCGGCTAGATAAAGCTGAAGATAGGGACAC